GGCCAAAGGGTTCAATCTTGGTTTCATCAGACCAGATAATCTTGTTTCTCTTGGTCTGAGAGTCTTTAGGTGCCTTTTGGCAAACTCCATGCGGGCTGTCATGTGCCTTTTACTGAGAAGTGGCTTTCGTCTAGCCACTCTACCATAAAGGTCTGATTGGTGGAGTGCTGCAGAGATGGTTGTCCTTCTGAAAGTTCCCCCATCTCCACAGAGGAACTCTGGAGCTCTGTCAGAGTGACCATCGGGTTCTTGGTCACCTCCCTGACCAAGGCCCTTCTCCCACGATTGCTCAGTTTGGCCGGGCGGGCAGCACTAGGAAGAGTCTTGGTGGTTCCAAACTTCTTCCATTTAAGAATGATGGAGGCCACTGTGTTCTTGGGGACCTTCAATGCTGCAGACATTTTTTGGTACCCTTCCACAGATCTGTGCCTCGACACAATCCTGTCTCGGAGTTAAGGTGTTCCCTATTATTTATTTTTAATACATTTGAAAAAGATTCTAAAAAAAAAGTACCAGTCAGAAGTTTGGACACACCTACTCATTCAAGGGTTTTCTTTATTTTTACTATTTTCTACATTGTAGAACAATAGTGAAGACATCAAAACTATGAATTTACACATATGGAATCATGTAGTAACCAAAAAAGTTTTAAACAAATCATAATATATTTTATATTTGAGATTCTTCAAAGTAGCCACCCTTTGCCTTGATGACAGCTTTGCACACTCTTGGCATTCTCTCAACCAGCTTCACCTGGAATTCTTTTCCAACAGTCTTGAAGGAGTTCCCACATATGCTGAGCAATTTTCCTTCGCTCTGCGGTCCAACTCATCCCAAACCATCTCAATTGGGTTGAGGTTGAGTGAATGCGGAGGTTAGGTCATTTGATCCAGCACTCCATCACTCTCCTTCTTATTCAAATAGCCCATACGCAGCCTCGTGTTGGGTCATTGTCCTGTTGAAAAACAAATGATAGTCCCACTAAGCGCAAACCAAATGGGATGGCGTATCGCTGCAGAATGCTGTGGTAGCCATGCTGGTTAAGTGTGCCTTGAATTCTAAATAAATCACAGACAGTGTCACCAGCAAAGCACCCCCACACCATCACACCTCCTCCTCAATGCTTCACGGTGGGTACCACACATGCGGAGATCATGCGTTCACCTACTCTGTGTCTCACAAAGACATGTCGGTTGGAACCAAAAATCTAAAATTTGGACTCATCAGACCAAAGGACAGATTTCCACCGGTCTAATGTCCATTCCTCATGTTTCTTGAACCAAGCAAGTCTCTTCTTATTATTGGTGTCCTTTAGTAGTGGTTTCTTTGCAGCAATTCGACCATGAAGGCCTGATTCACACAGTCTCCTCTGAACAGTTGATGTTGAGATGTGTCTGTTACTTGAACTCTGTGAAGCATTTATTTGGGCTGCAATTTCTGAGGTTGGTAACTCTAATGAACTTATCCTCTACAGCAGAGGTAACTCTGGGTCTTCCTTTCCTGTGGCGGTCCTCATGAGAGCCAGTTTCATCATCGTGCTTGATGGTTTAAAGAAACATTCAAAGTTCTTGAAATGTTCCGTATTGACTGACCTTTATGTCTTAAAGTAATGATGGTCTGTCATTTCCCTTTGCTTATTTGAGCTGTTCTTGCCATAATATGGACTTGGTCTTTTACCAAATATGGCTATCTTCTGTATACCAACCCTACCTTGTCACAACCCAACTGATTGGCTCAAACGCATTAAGAAGGAAATAAATTCCACAAATTAACTTTTAAGAAGGCACACCTGTTAATTGAAATGCATTCCAGGTGACTACCTCATGAAGCTGGTTGAGAGAATGCCAAGAGTGTGCAAAGCTGTCATCAAGGCAAAGGGTGGCTACTTTGAATAATCTCAAATATAAAATATATTATGATTTGTTTAACACTTTTTTGGTTACTACATGATTCCATATGTGTTAATTCATAGTTTTGATGTCTTCACTATTATTCTACAATGTAGAAAATAGTAAAAATTAAGAAAAACCCTGGAATGAATTGTTGTGTCCAAACTTTTGACTGGTACTGTATATATATATATATATATATATATATATATATATATATATATATATATATATATATACCTACCTAATATTGAGTTGCACCCCCTTTTGCCCTCAGAACAGCATCAATTAATTGGGGCATGGACTTTATAAGATGTTGAAAACGTTCCACAGGGATGCTGGCCCATGTTGACTCCAATGCTTCCCAGAGTTGTGTCAAATTGGCTGGATGTTCTTTGGGTGGTGGACCATTCTTGATACACACAGAAAACTGTTGAGCATGAGAAATCGAGCAGTGTTGCATTTCTTGACTCAAACCGGTGTGTCTGGCATCTACTACCATACCCCGTTCAAAGGCACTTAAATATTTTGTCTTACCCATTCACCCTCTGAATGGCACACATACAGTTGAAGTCGGAAGTTTACATACACTTAGGTTGGAGTCACTAAAACTTGTTTTTCAACCACTCCACAAATGTCTTGTTAACAAACTATAGTTTTGGCAAGTCATTTAGGACATCTACTTTGTGCATGACACAAGTAATTTATCCAACAATTGTTTACAGACAGATTATTTCACTTATAATTCACTGTATCACAATTCCAGTGGGTCAGAAGTGTATATACACTAAGTTGACGGTGCCTTTAAACAGCTTGGAAAATTCCAGAAAATGATGTCATGGCTTTAGAAGCTTCTGATAGGCTAATTGACATCATTTGAGTCAATTGGACGTGTGCCTGTGGATGTATCTCAAGGCCTACTTTCAAACTCAGTGCCTCTTTGCTTGACATCATGGGAAAATCAAAAGAAATCAGCCAAGACCTCAGAAAAAAATGGTAGACCTCCACAAGTCTGGTTCATCCTTGGGAACAATTTCCAAACGCCTGAAGGTACCACGTTCATCTGTACAAACAATAGTACGCAAGTATAAACACCATGGGACCACGCAGCCGTCATACCGCTCAGGAAGGAGACGCGTTCTGTCTCCTAGAGATGAACGTACTTTAGTGCGAAAAGTGCAAATCAATCCCAGAACAACAGCAAAGGACCTTGTGAAGATGCTGGAGGAAACAGGTACAAAAGTATCTATATCCAAACGAGTCCTATATCGACATAACCTGAAAGGCTGCTCAGCAAGGAAGAAGCCACTGCTCCAAAACCGCCATAAAAATGACAGACTACGGTTTGCAACTGCACATGAGGACAAAGATCGTACTTTTTGGAGAAATGTCCTCTGGTCTGATGAAACAAAGATAGAACTGTTAGGCCTCCTGTAGCTCAGTTGGTAGAGCATGGCGCTTGCAATGCCAGGGTTGTGGGTTCGATTCCCACGGGGGGCCAGTATGAAAAATGTATGCACTCACTTAACTGTAAGTCGCTCTGGATAAGAGCGTCTGCTAAATGACTCAAATGTAAATAATGACCATTGTTATGTTTGGAGGAAAAAAGGGGTGCTTGCAAGCCGAAGAACACCATCCCAACCGTGAAGCACGGGGGTGGCAGCATCATGCTGTGGGGGTGCTTTGCTGCAGGAGGGACTGGTGCACTTCACAAAATGGATGGCATCATGAGGAAAGAAAATTATGTGGAGATATTGAAGCAACATCTCAAGACATCAGTCAGGAAGTTAAAGCTTGGTCGCAAATGGGTCTTCCAAATGGACAATGACCCCAATCATACTTCCAAAGTTGTGGCAAAATGGCTTAAGTACAACAAAGTCAAGGTATTGGAGTGGCCATCACAAAGCCCTGACCTCAATCCTATAGAAAATTTGTGGGCAGAACTGAAAAAGCGTGTGCGAGCAAGGAGGCCTACAAGCCTGACTCAGTTACACCAGCTCTGTCAGGAGGAATGGGCCAAAATTCATCCAATTTATTGTAGGAAGCTTGTGAAAGCCAACCCAAAACGTTTGACCCAAGTTAAACAATTTAAAGGCAATGCTACCAAATACTATTTGAGGGTATGTAAACTTCTGACCCACTGGGAATGTGATGAAAGAAATAAAAGCTGAAATAAATCATTCTCTCTACTATTATTCTGACATTTCACATTCTTAAAATAAAGTGGTGATCCTAACTGACCTAAGACAGGGAATTTTTACTAGGATTAAATGTCAGGAATTGTGAAAAACTGAGTTTAAATGTATTTGGCTAAGGTGTATGTAAACTTCCGACTTCAACTGTACACAATCCATGTCTGAATTGTCTCAAGGCTTAAAAATCCTTCTTTAACCTGTTTCCTCCCATTTATCTACACTGATTGAAGTGGATTGAACAGGTGACATCATTAACGGATCTTAGCTTTCTCCTGGATTCACCTGGTCAGTCTATGTCATGGAAAGAGCAGGTATTCCTAATGTTTTATACACTCAGTGTATAGTACAATAAAAACTGACATTGTAGACAAACGCTTTGGCAGATTTTAGATTTGTCCATCTGTAAGCTTAGAGAAAAAGTGTACCAAATTAAATGTTAAATTTGGAAATGAATGGGTTAATAACAAGGGAGTAGTGTTAATGATTTTTAAAACATTTTAGAAAATTGAATATATTCATTATTCATTCAATAATTTAGCTAGTCCGGCAATGGTCTGCATATTGTTTCCTATGCGTTCATCAGTCTAGCTTTCCGACGCTCACAACCAGGAACTAACAGAACAGCTTTGTTTATAAACATTCTGATTATGTCTATAGGAGAACCCTTTGAAGAACCATTTTTGGTTCCAGGTAAAACCCTTTTGGTTCCAGGTAGAACACTTTTGGGATCCATGTAGAACCCTTTCCACAGAGGGTTCTACATGGAACCCAAAAAGGGTTCTACCTGGAACCAAAAAGGGCTCTCCTATGGGGACAGCCGAAGAACCCTTTTGGAATCCTTTTTTCTAAGCGTGTTCTAGTAAATCTGATCTGAATGATACCGATAATAGACAAGTAAGAGTGCTCTTCACTCACCCAGTTCATGAGCAGTGGTGAAGGACGAAGGGAGACCATCATCCTCGATGACAGAGCAGCTTCTCTTCGGATCACACATAGTGCCCACGTCTGCCATGCCTAAGGTGTCACAGGTAGTGGCTCCACACAAGTCCTGTTGAAGGAGACAAATGAAATGTGATCATCTGGACAATGTGATGAGATGGTGAGGTGTGTTGGTGTGTAATGTAATTTGTCTTACGTGTATAAGTGTGTTGTTATTGCATTGCATATCCACCATCTTTTGGTAGATATTAAAGCAGAAAACACTAACAATCCGGTCCATTGTTCTGGTTGGGCCCATTTCTTTATATCTCTCTCTCTCCCTCTCTCTCTCTGATGTGCAAACAATCTGGCCCAGTGAACTAACCCTTTAATCCACAAGATGCTTAGGGAATGTTACAGCTGTCAGAGAAGTACAATTGCACTGCCACGTGTCTGTCTGACAACGGAACTGATTAAAAGGTATTGTACTTGACCATTGTACAACGCTTTCAAATACAAGTTTATTTTGTTTGAGTCTGAGAATTCTAATCCGATATAACTGCATTGTTCATTCATACAAGCACATTAACACCATGCTTCTAGCCTACAATATTCAATTCAATAACCCCCTTCCCCAATAAAGTCAATAAACTCTCTTTATCCCAATAGGGTTATTGTATAGGTCAAGGCATCTTCGCCATATAAGTGTGATCATGTTACAGGAGGGGGTCGCAGTTCCGGATCGACCCACTAGGTGTCATCCTCAGACAACCTTAGGCACCTCCTCACTCACAGTCTGGACTAATCAGTATCCTATTGGTGTTACCTGTGTCTACCTGTTCACCTGTATATTCATGCCCTCACTTAACTGTGTTCCCTTGCTCAGTTTTCTCTGTTAGTTTCTCTATGTCTAGCAGTACTACTCAGTGTCTGATCTGAGATCTTTGTACAGGTACTTGAGAAGTGTTCTCCCTGTTTCGTTATTTGTTTCCATCTTAGGTAGTATTTCGTATTTTGGCTGTCAGTCGGTTTTTGGAGACTTATTTGCTCCGCCTTTCTTTTATCGTGATAAGTCCGTTATTTTGGATACTGGCTTCGGGACCACCAGTAAAGATCCTTGTTTCACCATCTCTGCCTACTGCCTACTGTATATCCTGCACCGCACCTGGGTCACACCTCACCCCAACCCTTACAGGATCATTTTACACCACTTTGATCACAGTTGGACAGAATCAGTCTCAGAATTAAATGTTATGCATGTTGCTATGCACTCGAAGAGAACCAATGCATCAGATTGCTCCCAGCCAAGCTAGGCTTAATGTAAAACAGACAGACTGGCTGAGTCCAGGCTGAGAGGCAGGTCTAAAGGCTCACAGCTAGAAGTGAGTGGATCATCACAGAGAAATGGATACTTCCCATTCCACCATATGAGTGTGTAAAATCCTAGCTCTGGTTCAGGGCGTTAATGCTAACGATGAGCCTTCCGTTAGCAAGCTGCACTGAAGCCCTGGACCAGAGCTAGTGCAAATCCTGCCTGGCCTGTTCTACCTGTGGCATTTCTCAACTTAGTGACATGGTGCTAACATGGGTTGGGATCATAGAGAATGATAGAGGCCTCTAGTGGCCAAAAGGCAGTTTTAGCATGGGCAGCGCCATTGAGGGCTTCCACCATGTTTCCGCCAATTTAAAGTAGTCAAAGTAGTCAAATGGGTGGAGATTCCTATGGGTTGTAGCCTCAATGGCGGTGCCCATGCTGTCACAGATGCTATAATGGCACAGACATAAAGATGAGTCCTCTATCTATCTCTATGGTTGGGATGGAAAAATAGGTGACCGGCTATAGCCACTTTCCTGAAAGATGTGAAACAGTCTTTGTTCATATAGTTAATTCTTGTTCCATGAGCATGTTTTTTGGCTCAGTGATCCTAATAGTGTGGACTTTTATGCTAAATCTTCTGCAACATGATTCATGATAGGAAAAAGGAGGGTCGACTTTTAAGATGTGAAGACAGATGTGATGCTTGTCAGCTGTGCAGTTGCAAACAATGTTTTCATTTTTTTCTCGTAGAGATGCATAGAGTACAAATTAGAATTGGAAGTGGAATTTTAGTTTACTTCCTTTATTGAAAAGGAATTGACACCCAAACCCTACCTTGTCTTAGCATTATCAGGCTACATGTAACACACAGAGATGTGTCTATAAAAGAGCACTTAGTATTGTATTTGCAGATAATGTATTGGGTGACATAATGAGATAATTATTCCAAATGGAAATAATTGAGGATTGCATGGAAGCTAATCTGCAAGCAAACATCAAAAATAGTTGACACCTGGCTGCATCTCACCACTCCTTACCTGTTTGGTGAATAGAATTGCAGTGTCCCAGTATTCAGGGTGCTTGTCATTGTATTTGTTTAAATGTTTCTGCCAAGAACAGAAACTGCGCAGAGTGAGGGCAGCATTGGTGGAAATCTTGGGTCCTTTCTCTGCTTCGTTAATCACCAAGAAGCCCACTACCACTATGTTTATGGAGTTCATGATGCTGGGGTGCTTGTACAGCCTCGCAGCAACAGACATCAGTGTCAACAGGTAATGTTTCAAGTCATCCCCGTGGAATTTGGCCATAGACTCATCAGCCACGACGAGAACCTCCACAAACCTAGGGATGGAGGCAAACCTTTTGGATCTACCCAGGCTCTTCAATACAGTTTCAGTCAGGCTGTCCAGCTCCAGTCCTTTCATGTGTTTATATTTCTCAAAAGACTCTGAAATGTTTTGGGTCAAACCAGGTCCTACTCCACACCTATTCGTGGTGGAATTACCGCTGGAGTCTCTGTCCGGTCCCCGGCGGCGTATGACATGGGTTCTTCTCTCAGTATTCACTGTATATACTCCTCCTGCCCTCTCGTTCCCAAGCTGATTGATGAAATATTCCATGCCCTGGTAAGAAAAGGAGCCTTGTAAGCCTTTGCAGAGGCTCAGCGCAGCATACGATTCCTGTTCTGCGTTGACATCACCAGAGTAGAAGCAGTGGCTCAGGTCTGTGTTTGCAGAGGAATTTGATGCTAAGGAGCCGCTGTGAGGAGGGATGTTGGGCGAAATAAATGTAGAATCCGGTAAAAGGTTGAGATAAAATTCTTGACTGAAAGCCGTTATTTTAAAAACAACTAGTTGGTCATTCCTTCTCTCCTCCGTCTGTCGAATAGTATGTATTTCTAAATGTTTATGATCAAATCGAACAGGTACGCAAAAATCTATTTCCATGCAATAGTTCAATTTAGCATAAAATAGAACATCCATAAAAATAAACAGAGAGCCAATAAACATAGACATCTTTGCAATACAAAAACTATTATTTATCGATAAATACGCCACTGTCCTTCGTGGTACCACGTCTGCATGTGATCCAATGCTCTGTCACAGAGCCGCAGTTGAGCGTCCTCAAAGGATGAAAGACCAAAATATTTGATCCATTCCCATCTTGAACCAGACTATTGAGGCCAGCCTGCTCTTTGGACTTGGTGAGTTTGACTCTCTAGAGTCATGTTTATAAACATCGGGAACTGTCAACGGAAAGGTCTGGGAAAAGCTCATTGGACATAGTCTACCCCCTTGGTTTATGCTTTGAACCGCAGCCACTTGTAGCGCTCTAAATATTATTATCACATGTGGCACGAGCTAAACTGTCTCCTCCCACTATCGGAACCAAAAGTGCGTCTCTGACGCAATGGGTTGAACACTCATCACCAACCACAAAGTAGCCTACTAAAGTACACTTTTGGTTAAAAAAAATTCAGGCCAATTGTACGGTGTGAGTTATAGATTCAGCTGAAACTAATATGACTTAATCCGGCATTACTAATCGATTGATTAAGATCTAATCTTATTCAAACGAATTATCGTACAAGGTAACTAGGCTTAATTACCTAACAGTTCAAACTCAATGCGTAATGCAAATACACCCAAGAAATATTGAGAAATAGCCTAATAATATTTCCAACAAATGTCCAACAAAAATCACTTCTGTTGCTCTAATCTGTTCCAGTTGGAAATAGGCTATAGCTTAAAAAAGAGCGACACCTGTTGCGCCTGCAGTAGAGTGCGCATCTCTGGTCATTCCCGCGCGTAAAGGGCATCTAATTATTTGGTAATCCAATACTACCACCTTGTGGTTGAAATCCTTACCTAAAATAACCTACTTTTTATATAGCGCTAACGTGTCCCTTTGCCAATGCCACTTCGAAGATTATAAGAGCCCTACGTAATATCGGCGTTCATTGGTTACATTATCTGACATTTTTGACTCTCTTATGATAAAGGGCAAAGGGACATGTTAGCGCTATATAAAAAGTAGGTTATTTTAGATAAGGTTCTGTGGAAGCATTTCAACCACAAGGTGGTAGTATTGGATTACAAAATAATGAGATGCCCTTTGCGCGCGAGAATGACCAGAGATGCGCAAGATAAGAGTCTTATCTCTTAAACAGAACTCTCTAATGTATTCCATGACATTCCTTTATCGTTGATTTATTCGACTGATGAGGACCATGGTCGTGGTGGGTATGCTATAGCCTACTTATGGGAGTCGCTTGGGGGTCACTGCACTGTCAGTCACTCAAAGTAACTGACCGAGCCCTTCAATTATAGTATGGGTGTCCAGGTTGCAGCGTCCTGTGCTGTAGGCCTATGCGGAGTTAATATTAGTTTCAGGGTTGTCAAACTACAGCTACTTCAGAAGGGGGGAGTCTCGGTCTCTTCTCATTGGATCCGTTTTATCCAAGGGTTTCTCATGAGGTACGAGTGGGAGGAGAATTTGAGGCAACAAGTGGTATAAAAAAAATCCGCTTCTGTCCAGGGAAGACAAGAAGTATAAATACCTCCGCTGCTCCTAATATTAAGTGGTGCTGCCGAGCGGTAGAACAGTATTTTAGCTCCGCTATAATAGCAATGAAGATTACACTATTAAACTAAAAATAGCAAACATTCTCGACACAGACTGACTGTGGATTTTTGTTACATTATACTGATGAAAAAATATTTTAGTTGTGAGGTTGCTAAGACTAAAAATAGCTAAGTGACTCAAGATTTTCTACCGACTACAGACACTATCAATTGACGAGTTGAGCTGCGTATGGGCTTGGTCCGGAATTTTGGTTGAAAGGTTGTCTTTGTTTTAATGATTTTTTGAGTGCAATTTCCTTTGCTGAAGATGTTTTCAAAGCGGTTTTTCGTTTTACTAGTCCTGTGCGTAATCGACAAATCACTTTCTAAATTGTTTGCATCCGAGGAAATTGTACCTGTCAGGATAAATGAAAGAAGCAGCAGTCGTTTTTGGAAACGAAGTGAAGAACAGCCGAGGTTTAGACTCAGTGCCTTTGGCCGAGATTTCACTTTGAATTTAAGCCCAGATAACAGTTTCTTATCTACTACACTGACAATTCAACGCATCAAAGCAAAAGATCTCTACACTTTACGCAGCGCCTCAGGTGCCCATGGCAGACACACTTCATCTGATGCTGAAACTGAAACGGACTTTCACAACTTGATAAACAAGACACAGGAGATGGAAAGAGATTTGAGAAGCTGTTTTTACTCTGGGACTGTGGACTCCAACCAATATTCTGTTGTTGCGGTCAGTCTCTGTTATGGCATCCTTGGATCGTTTGTTACAGACGGGGTTGAGTATTTAATTGAGCCCAAAGTGCTCGGCTCAGGGAGAAGGGAGAGGTCCACTGAACAGTTACATTTGATCAAAAGAAGAACACCCACAGAAGCACCACATGACACTCAAACTGTCTTTGATCAACTGAGTGAGGAGAGTCGTGAAAAAGCTGACAAGGAAAGTTTTAAGCATGAGGGAAAAGATCCTGAGAGACAATTACGAGGGAAACGCTTTGTATCAGCACCACGATTTATTGAGACGCTGGTGGTTGCAGACGCGTCCATGACACATTTCTATGGAGACGAGATAAAGGTAGGATATATTCGATTATTCGATTAATATAGCCCATGCTGATTCAATTATTTGATTGCATGTAACAAAAATGAAAGTGCCATACTTTCACCAAATTCTGCATTGATAATTTACAACACTAGAATTGGAAAGACACACTTTCCACAGAATTGGAAAGACACAATTGGAAGTTGTTTCCACATAATTTCAACCAAAAACAATCAATGTGATGAAGTTGAATCAACGTGTAAAACTGATTGGATTTGCAAAAAGTTATCAATGTAAGGGCATTTCCTATTTTTATTCACCCAACCTTTAACATAAAACCAATGACATGGTGACATTTGTGGTTGATTTCACGTTGAATTCACTGTTAGTTACAACTCAACCAAATGTAAATCAAAACTAGATGTTGAACTGACATTGTGCCCAGTGGGAAGTTTTCTTAACAGGCTAGTTCAAGATTGAAATTTAATCCAACTCCCAATGTGGAAACACCCACAGTCAAAATGTTTTAAAGAAAAACTCATTTGTGTTTAAATTGAAAATAATTATAGCCTATATTTTGGGTGCAGAAACAATGGTTTTGCTCTGCTCTGTCATGAAAAACTAGGCTCTCCACACTTGCTGTTTAGCTGATATGCATGGAGTAAACTAAGTTGGAGTAATGAGGTCATTTAAAAAATAAGAGTGCATAGAGAGTAATGATGGGATTGGGAAACCTCTGATAAGGTCAGGCAGGAGAATTATGCTTTGGCAGTAATTTCGTTCCGCATTCCTTATGACTTAGCTACTAAATCATCACCATTAAACAATGTTGGGGTCATGCAAGTGATAAAGAGCATGTGAGCATTATACGTTTTTAAAGATACTTCCTATTTAAAAAAATATAAAATAATTGTAATTCCAGTCTGGCAGTTATTTCACTCACTTAGTTTTTTCCCTCCAGTTTTAGCCTAAATCATCATCACCAGTGTTGCCTTGTAAGCCTCCCTAATATCTAACTGCCTGTGTCCTCCCTTGCTCCAGCACTATATCCTTACCTTGGTCTCTGTGGCTGCCCAGCTTTACAAACATCCCAGTATCAAGAACTCTGTCCACATGGTGGTGGTGAAGATGGTGGTGGTGGAAGACGAGGAGGTTGGACCGTCACTCTCCAATAACGGGGGAGTCGCTCTGCGGAATTTCTGTGCCTGGCAACAACAGTTCAACCCGGCCAGCCAGAGGCATCCTGAGCACTACGACACTGCTCTACTTTTCACCCGAGAGGTGAGCACTGCCTGCCCCATATGTATACTGTTACACATTACATCAATGTCACAGGATATCCCTAACCCCTTATTCCATAACCATATTACCAAATGGTTTGGAGAGTTAATGAAATAATGTAAGCAAACAGTGATATATTTGATTATGTATCCTCTAATGAAATACAATTGGCTGTCTTATGTCCATGAATCAGATCAGATGAGCTTTGAAACCTATAGGGCTGAAGGCTCTCCTATGAGCTATTTTTAGAATGGTTACAAATCAGCCTTGAGTGACAAGACATCCCTTAAAATGGCCAAGGTATGTGTGTAATGTTGCTGCCCTGAATTTGATCTGCTAAAGAATGTGTGCCACATGCCTCGCCATAAGAGAAACCAAAAACTTGAGACTTAAATTGGAAGTAGTTTGCACATGCTGTCTCCCATGAGTGATGCTTCTGCAAAACAAGGTGTAGACGTGCTGAGTTGAATTCAGCATGCCGCTCTATGTCCAGATGTCCTTTGAATCATGTACGGTTATGTCTTGTGTTTTGGGTCATAGGCCCCAGGAAACATTTATCTCAGTCACAGAGAGCCAGCCTGACATGTGAAGGGAAAATGTTGAGGCATGTCGTTGAAATATATCTCTGATACCACACCATTAATTTCCCCACATCATAGATCTGCTTCTGTCTGCCAGGAATATTTATTTGCTTCATTTAATGATGGAAACATTGACAAACAAGTTTTTTTGGCATGTGCTCTCAAGTGAAAAGAGAAAAAAACAACCAGGGACAAATAGAAACGCTGTCTAAAGATTCATTGTTTGAAACCACTGCTGTCTGTCTTCCAGGATATCTGTGGACATCAGAGTTGTGACACCCTAGGGGTTGCTGATGTGGGAACCATGTGCGATCCAAAAAGGAGTTGCTCTGTCATTGAGGATAATGGACTTCAAGCAGCTTTCACTGCTGCCCATGAACTTGGTATGACTTGTGCATTAAAAAATTTAAACTTTCTCAAACTTCTATATTGACCATATATAAAGATACTATAGGTCTACATACATTTTGCCTCTTGTCAAAAAGGGTCCGCTAAATGCACAGAAATATTGTCCACAAATAACTTCATTTGGACAGAAAGAGGCATACACATGAGCCAAAAGCTTATGGAAAAGGTTGTTAGCCTACAACTAATAATTGTGTGGTTTAATGAGATAAGAACTTGATATGAACCATACAGTCCACCCCCAAGCCTAATGTAGATATAAACTATTAGCAACTTTACTTCCATAGCGTACCTTAAATAGTGGTCCTCTGTAGCTCAGCTGGTAGAGCACGGCGCTTGTAACGCCAAGGTAGTGGGTTCGATCCCCGGGACCACCCATACACAAAAATGTATGCACGCATGACTGTAAGTCGCTTTGGATAAAAGCGTCTGCTAAATGCCATATTATTATTATTATTAATTTAATTTGAATGGGTGTTCAGGGTCCCTCTTTCATCCCATGATCGGTACTGAATACTGATACAGTATTGTTCTCCTTTAGGCCATGTGCTGAGTATGCCACACGACGACTCCAAGAATTGCGAGAGGATGTTTGGGAATCTGGGCGGCCATCACCTGATGGCCCCTCTGTTCGTTCACCTCAACAAGACTTTCCCCTGGTCACCTTGCAGCGCTCTCTACATCACAGAGTTCTTTGACAACGGACACGGTATGTCATGCTGATAAACAACACTGACAACTCTGATGTAGAAAACTTATTTGGTAAGACTTTCTATGAGGAAAGTGTTGGAAAGTGTTTATTTTTATTAAACGTTTTTAATTGACTTGATATTACAAGAAAACATTTTTACATCTATTGTACTTGTTTTATTCTACTGCATGTATATCACAACATCTGAATACTGTGTGTTGAGGTCAGAAGGCTGGACGTGAATGAAATCAGATAATTAAATTTTAAAAACTCAGCAGTTGCTGGTAGCGCCATTTTTACTAGAGCCTTCTAGGTCTGTTTTTACTAGAGCCTTCTAGTTTAAACCACTCTGTTATGAGGGCCCAGTTTTCACTTCTGTATTTTATTTTACAATATCTACCCACTTAAACAAATTATGGCCTCTGACAACGACAATAAATACTCTTACAGGAGAAGTTACTTATTGTAAGCCATTATGAAGGCTCATAATGCTTATAACAAGATATAAAGCATTATACCTGCAGGCTTCAATCAATCAATCAATCAATCAAATGTTATTTATAAAGCCCTTTTTACATCAGCAGATGTCACAAAGTGCTATACAGAAACCCAGCCTAAAACCCCAAACAGCAAGCAATGCAGATGTAGAAGCACGGTGGCTAGGAAAAACTCCCTAGAAAGGCAGAAACCTAGGAAGAAACCTAGAGAAGAACCAGGCTCTGAGGGGTGGCCAGTCCCTTTCTGGCTGAGCCGGGTGGGGATTATAACAGTACATGGCCATTAAGGCCAGATTTTTCCCCAAGATGTTCAAACGTTCATAGATGACCAGCAGGGTCAAATAATAATCACAGTGGTTGTAGAGGTTGCAACAGGTCAGTATATCAGGAGTAAATGTCACTTGGCTTTTCATAGCCGGGCATTTAGAGGTTGAAATAGCAGGTGCGGTAGAGAGAGACAGTTAAAAACAGCAGGTCTGGGACAAGGTAGCACGTCCGGTGAACAGGAAAGGGTTCACAAGTGTTCACAATGTTAACTCCACCTGTAGTTTCTCACCTCTGCTTTGCTTATGTGCAAAGATTATCTGCAGTTGCACTACAAAATCTCAAAATGGAGATGCATTGGAGACATGCAGAATGCAGAGATGCAGAATCCAAGATGGCGTAGCAGTGCGGTCGTGTACTCTGTGTGTGTCCGTGTAAATAGCCTGTTCTTTGTATATTTTTGTATTTTTCGTACATATTTCCCTATCACACTTTTCATCCTTCTACTAAATATACTTTCCTGCAACCCGCCTCACTCAATGTGGAACGGATTCTATTATTGACTTACCTTTTATCTAGAATCTCCAGTTGAACCTAGCTAGCCAGCTAACTAGCTACTTGCTATTAACCACCGTTAGCGGTTTTCACCTAGAACATCGGATTTTCTGCCGGAATAACTGAATCACTGGACATTAACACCGGATCGCAACTAGCTAGCCGCAACCGAATGGATGTTGCTCTTGGCTAATCACCACTGCCCCCGAAGCAAGCACCAGTTAGCCTTGAGCTAGCCTCGAGCCAGGCCCATATCCCGGCTTTCTACCTCTCTGTCTACCGGACGGGAGTAGCCAGCTAACTAGCTACTTGCTATTAGCCACCGTTAGCGGTTTTTCACCATTGTCCGTGGCCTGCACTACCTAGCCTGGACTATTATCGGCCAGTCTGCACTGTCTGCACAGCGCGTTATCGACCCAGAACATATCGGTTTTTCTGCCGGAATCACTGAATCACTGGACCTTTAACACCGGATCATCGCAACTAGCTAGCTGCAACCAAATGGATGTTGTTGTTGGCTAATCAGCCTTGAGCTAGCCTCGAGTCAGGCCCATCTCCCGGCTATCTACCTCTCTGTCAACCGGACGGGACCTCCTAGAGTCGACATGGAGCCCCGCCGATCCATCACGACTGGTCTGCCGACGTAATCGTCTGTGGTTTCAACAGGCTTCCCGTTGCGACGACCATGAAGATCCATCTGCTAGCCCCGGCCCGCTAGCACAAGCAAACAACAGCCGTGCTTCCTGCTAGCTTGTGCTGTAGCACCAATTCGAACTGCTCTCGGACTCACATATTGCTGTTCACTGGACCTTATGATCACTCAGCTGCACAGCTGATGCCTGCTGGACTGTTCCTTTACACGGTACCCTGTCCTGTTTATCTGTTTAGCCTCAGCCCAAACTTTCATCGCCATTACCAGTTGTTGTCTTAGCTCTCTCGAATAACACCTGTGATTGCTTTATGCCTCTCTCCCATATCAATATGCCTTGCCTATTGCTGTTCCAGTTAGTTCTTATTATACACTTTCACTGTAGAGCCCCAAGTCCCTCTCAAACTGCCTCAAATAGCTCCTTTGTTCCACCCCCCATACACGCGGAGACCGGCTCAATCGGTGCCTCCAGTGATGCTATCTCTTTCATTGTTACCCAACGCTTAGGTTTACCTCCACTGTACTCCTATCCTTCCATATCCTTGTCTGTACATAATGCCCTGAATCTATTCTACAACGCCAGGAAATCTGCCCCCTTTATTCTCTGTACCCAACGCACTAGAAGACCAGTTCTTAAAGCCTTTAGCCGTATCCTTATTCTAGTCTTCCTCTGTTCCTCTGGTGATGTAGAGGTTAACCCTGCAGTCCCCAGTATCACTCCTACTCCCCAGGAGCTATCATGCTGCCAAACATGCCCTCGTAAAACTGACTATCCTACCGATCCTTGACTTCGGCGATGTCATTTACAAAATAGCCTCCAACACTCTACTCAGCAAATTGGATGTAGTCTATCACAGTGCCATCCGTTTTGTCTCCAAAGCCCCATATACTACCCACCACTGTGACCTGTACGCTCTTGTTGGCTGGTCCTCACTACATATTCGTCGCCAAACCCACTGGCTCCAGGCCATCTATAAATCACTGCTAGGCAAATCCCCGCCTTATCTTAGCTCATTGGTCACCATAGCAACACCCACCCGTAGTATGCGCTCCAGCAGGTATATCTCACTGGTCATCCCCAAAGCCAACACCTCCTTTGGCCGCCATTCCTTCCAGTTATCTGCTGCCAATGACTGGAACAAATTGCAAAAATCTCTGAAGCTGGAGACACTTATCTCCCTCACTAACTTTAAGCATCAGTTGTCAGAGCACCTTACCAATCACTGCACCTGTACACAGCCCATCTGAAATTAGCCCGCCCAACTACCTCATCCCTATATTGTTATTTATTTTGCTCATTTGTACCCCAGTATCTCTATTTGCACATCATCTCTTGCACATCTATCATTCCAGTGTTAATACTAATTGTAATTATTTTGCACTATAGCCTATTTATTGCCTTACCTCCATAACTTGCTACATTTGCACACACTGTATATATACTTATTTCTGTTGTATTTTTGACTTTGTTTTGTTTTACCCCATATGTAACTCTGTGTTGTTGTTTTTATCGCACTGCTTTGCTTTATCTTGGCCAGGTCGCAGTTGTAAATGAGAACTTGTTCTCAACTGGCTTACCTGGTTAAATAAAGGTGAAATAAATAAAATAAATAAAAAATGTGTTGACTTCTGTAACCGAAAAAGCATTGGTTATTTGCATGATAACATCAGAAGCCTCCTCCCTAAGTTTGAGTTATTCACTGCGTTAGCACACTCTGCCAACCCTGATGTTCTAGCAGTGTCTGAATCCTGGCTTAGGAAGGCCACCAACAATTCAGAAATGTCCATCCCCAACTACAAAACTTTCCGTCTAGATAGAACTGCCAAAGGGGGTGGAGTTGCAATCTACTGTAGAGATAGCCTGCAGAGCTCTATCATACTATCCAGGTCTGTGCCAAAACAGTTTTAGCTCCTACTTCTAAAAATCCACCTTTCCAGAAATAAGTCTCTCACTGTGCCGCTTGCTACAGACCCCCCTCAGCCCCCAGTTGTGCCCTGGACACCATATGTGAATTGATTGCCCCCCATCTATTCTCAGAGTTCGTACTGCTTGGTGACCTAAACTGGGATATGCTTAACACCCCAGCCATCCTACAATCCAAACTAGATGCCCTCAATCTCACACAAATTATCAAGGAACCTACCAGGTACAACCCTAAATCCATAAACATGGGCACCCTTATAGATATCATCCTGACTAACTTACCCTCTAAATACACCTCCGCTGTCTTCAACCAGGATCTCAGTCCGTAACGTGTCCGCGGTCAAACGACCATCCCTCATCACTGTCAAACGCTCCCTAAAACACTTTAGCGAGCAGGCCTTCCTAATTGACCTGGCCCAGGTATCCTGGATGGGTATCGATCTCATTCCGTCAGTAGAGGATGCCTGGTTGTTCTTTAAAAGTGCTTTCCTTTCAATTTAAAATAAGCATGCCCCATTCAAAAAATTCAGAACAAAAACAGATATAGCCCCTGGTTCTCCTCAGACTTGACTGCCCTTGACCAGCACAGAAACATCCTGTGGCGTACTGCATTAGCATCGAATAGCCCCCGCGATATGCAACTTTTCAGGGAAGTTAGGAACCAATATACACAAGCAGTTAGGAAAGCAAAAGGCTAGCTTTTTCAAACAGAAATGTGCATCCTGTAGCACTCACTCCAAAATGTTTTGGGACACTGTAAAGTCCATGGAGAATAAGAGCACCTCCTCCCAGCTGCCCACTGCACTGAGGCTAGGAAACACTATCACCACCGATAAATCTACAATAATCGAACATTTCAACAAGCATTTTGCTATGGCTGGCCATGCTTTCCACCTGGCTACCACTACCCCAGCCACCAGCTCTGCACCCTCCGCTGCAACTTGCCCTTGGTTTCTCAAATGACTGCCTCGCCTGGTTCACCAACTACTTCTCAGATAGAGTTCAATGTGTCAAATCGGAGGGCCTGTTGTCTGGACCTATGGCAGTCTCTATGGGGGTGCCACAGGGTTCAATTCTTGGGCCGACTCTTTTCTCTGTGTAGATCAATGATGTCGCTCTTGCTGCTGGTGATTCTCAGATCCACCTCTACGCAGTCGACACCATTTTGTATACATCTGGCCCTTCATTGGACACTGTGTTAACAAACCTCCAAACGAGCTTCAATGCCATACAACACTCCTTCCGTAGCCTCCAACTGCTCTTAAACACAAGTAAAACAAAATGCATGCTCTTCAATCAAACGCTGCTGGCACCCGCCCACCCGACTAGAATCACTACTCTCGACGGGTCTGACCTAGAGTATGTGGACAACTACAAATACCTAGGTGTCTGGTTAGACTGTAAACTCTCCTTCCAGACTCACATTAAGCATCTCCAATCCAAAGTTAAATCTAGAATCGGCTTCCTATTTTGCAACAAAGCCTCCTTCACTCATGCTGCCAAACATGCCCTCGTAAAACTGACTATCCTACCGATTCTTGACTTCGGCGATGTCATTTACAAAATAGCCTCCAACACTCTACTCAGCAAATTGGATGTAGTCTATCACAGTGCCATCCGTTTTGCCACCAAAGCCCCATATACTACCCACCACTGTGACCAGTACGCTCTTGTTGGCTGGTCCTCACTACATATTCATCGCCAAACCCACTGGCTCCAGGCCATCTATAAATCACTGCTAGGCAAATCCCCGCCTTATCTTAGCTCATTGGTCATCATAGCAACACCCACCCGTAGTATGCGCTCCAGCAGGTATATCTCACTGGTCATCCCCAAAGCCAACACCTCCTTTGGCCGCCATTCCTTCCAGTTCTCTGTTGCCAATGACTGGAACGAACTGCAAAAATCTCTGAAGCTGGAGACTCTTATCTCCCTCACTAACTTTAAGCATCAGTTGTCAGAGCACCTTACCGATCACTGCACCTGTACACAGCCCATCTGAAATTAGCCCACCCAACTACCTCATCCCCATATTGTTATTTATTTTGCTAATTTGCACCCCAGTATCTCTATTTGCACAGCATCTCTTGCACATCTATCATTCCAGTGTTAATACTAATTGTAATTATTTTGCACTATGGCCTATTTATTGCCTTACCTCCATAACTTGCTACATTTGCACACCCTGTATATATATTTTCTGTTGTATTTTTTACTTTATGTTTTGTTTTACCCCATATGTAACTCTGTGTTGTTGTTTTTATCGCACTGCTTTGCTTTATCTTGGCCAGGTCGCAGTTGTAAATGGGAACTTGTTCTCAACTGGCTTACCTGGTTAAATAAAGGTGAAATATATATATTTTTTTTTAAACATCCTAAGGAAATTAGAGATTGGCTGCCAGATTGTTTGTGGTTACTACTTATAGCTGAAATTGGGCGTGAAGGACAATGTGTTTGTTATTTGAAGAGATTAATATTATTTTGTAACATTTAATCAAGACCTTCCTTTCCTCTGAGTCATACATACAGAGAAGGTTTCGGTTCTCACAAGTCAAAAGTAACAGCTGTTACAAGCAAATATGGTCTTTATCAGTTAGTCAGTGATTCCAAAGAGAGTGTATGTAGCTAAGAATGTTGTCTGATCACTTGGTCAAGAACAACATCACACTAAAGCTGTAACGCCCTGACGTATGGAACTCTTGTATGTTGAGTCAGGGTGTGGAAATCTATGTGATGTATTCTATGTTTAGGATCTAGGTATTTTGTTTCTATGTTTGGCTGGGTGTGATTCCCAATCAGAGACAGCTGTCGCTCGTTGTCTCTGATTGGGGATTATACTTAAGTAGCCTGTTTGCCTACCTTTGTTGTGGGATCTTGTTCCTGTGTTAGGCTTGTATTGTGTATAGCCTTGGGCTTCACGTTACGTTGTTTATTGAATAATAAACATGTTCGCATACCACGCTGCAGCTTGGTCTGACCCGTCTCTGAACGTTCGTGACAAAAGCTCATTGAATATTTCTCCAAATAAGAGATCATGGGTTTGAGAAGCTTTACCAACTGTCCAGAATGTGATTGTGTGAAGACTCCAACAAAGTCAGCTTCAAGTCTCCACATTATATAACCTTGATTTTTTTAAACAGAACTCTTGTGTGTTGAATCACAGGCGACTGCCTTTTGGATCCACCGGAGAGCATCTTACCGTTACCCGGTGAACTCCCAGGCACCACATACAGTCTCGACCGCCAGTGCCAGCAGATGTTTGGGGAGGAGTTTGTGCACTGCCCCAACACTTCTGACAGTGACATCTGCAGCCAGCTGTGGTGCAGGGAGGAGGGCAAGCCCCACTGCACCACCAATAACGGCAGCCTTCACTGGGCGGATGGCACCATGTGCGCCACCAACAGGAGCTGTCTGCACGGTGCATGCATGGCAGCCCACGAGGTCATGCAGCCAAAGGTAAGCCCTAGTTTTTCTCAGAAAAGGGGAGGATTTTGACACAAACTCTGTCTCAGAATGCCCTGTTAGTTACTATATGTTTATTCATGTTTCTGTGATAGAGTATTTCCTTCCTGCATTGTAAGGAAGAATGTACTTTTGAAAGTACAAGCTCTTTAGCATGTGTCAATAAACTCGATTTATAAATTGACATGCTGGCAGTTAATATACTTTTTGCTCACCCACTAGTAAAAGCTTGTGAAAACACACCTACATGCACACAGTTTACTTTAGTCTTGCCAAGTGCGCCATGGGTTCCGCAAGTGGTGATACATAGGGCAGGAATGTGGGAGACAGCAGAAGCGTGCCACAGATTTACCCAAATCATGGCATGCCAAGAGACGCCGAGGCCCCAGCCTAGACTGTGGGTGAGTTGGACGGCTCATGTTATCATGGCACTCAATACTCACTCTGTTTCGTTTTGGCTTTACCACAGGTGGTTGTGGATGGCGGCTGGGGTGCGTGGGGACCATCGCAACTGTGCTCCAGGACATGTGGAGGGGGTGTGGAGTTCTCCTACAGGGAGTGCACAGATCCCGTGCCCCAGAATGGCGGAAAGTACTGCGAGGGCCAGAGAGTCCAGTACCAGTCCTGCAACACCCAGGCGTGTAAGAATAATGATGGTAAGGAATATTTTGTCTAGGCACTTGCACTACAGAATTTCGCTTTATTTATATAGTGGTGAGCTATAGTGGTGTTTTTAACCTAGATTTTCAATAAATGTGTCTCCTTTGATATTAGTTTGATGGATAATTTGTTTCCCTTTGTCATTTTCTCCAACCTTAGGGAAGAGTTTTAGAGAGGAGCAGTGTGAGAAGTACAACAGCTTCAACTATCTTGACATTCTTGGGAACATGAAGCAATGGATTCCAAAGTACGCTGGTGTGTCGCCCCGGGACAGGTGTAAACTCTTCTGCAGGGCCAAAGGCAGCAGTGAATTCAAAGTCTTTGAAGCCAAGGTACATTCACTAAAAATCATCTGTAGAATGTTGGCCACTGTAAATAAATAGCTTGCCATCACTGTTTGGTGAATCACAGTGTTAAGTAAATTGAGACCTCAAGTTTGCATTTGTGCTCCATAGGTTGTCGACGGCACCACATGTGGTCCCGACACTACGTCTGTCTGTGTACAAGGCCAATGTGTCAAGGCGGGCTGTGACCAAGAGATCGGTTCAAACAAGAGGCTTGACAAGTGTGGCTTGTGTGGTGGGAATGGCCTCAGTTGCAGGAAGATCACTGGTTCATACAACAAAGTCACGTGAGTATACCTAAATATTCCAATTCCAATTATGGTAACAGGCATGTATGACCCTAATATAATGTCACAGCTATTATTGTCTTATAATGATCCAGACTAAATAACAGTCAAATTTAGAAAGCATTATTGGTTGATTGTCTTTTGTGCTGCTGATGTGATTACAGCTGTAATGAGACATTTGCTTTTTTCTTTCAGTTACGGATATAGCGACATTGTGACCATACCTGTTGGGGCTACCAATATTGACATCAAACAGCGAAGCCATAGAAACATCAAACATGATGGAAACTACCTGGCGATCAAGCGAGAGAGCGGTGGCTACATACTGAATGGTAACTTCTCTGTGTCCACTGTGGAACAGGATATCCCTGTTCTCGGGGCTGTGCTGAAGTACAGTGGCTCATCCACCACCTTGGAGAGAATCCAGAGCTTCAGACAACTGAGGGAGGCCGTCACCATCCAGTTGCTGGCCACTGCTGGGGAGGCATTTCCACCCAAGGTCAAATACACATTCTTTATCCCCAAAGATGTGTATTTCACTAAATCCAAAGAGAGAAAGGCTTCATTGCATATGATCCAGGCTTTCGGTGTGCCCCAGTGGCATTTGGGCGAATGGTCAGAGTGCTCCAAGAGCTGCAGCTCCGGGTGGTCCCGAAGGAACGTTGAATGCAGAGACAACGCTGGTTTCCATTCCAATACCTGCGATAAGGACCTGAAACCCACAGATATCAGACCCTGTGCTGATCTGCCGTGCCCCATCTGGCAAATGGGGCCTTGGTCATCCTGTTCACGAACTTGTGGCCAGGGGGAACGCAGACGCAGTGTTGTCTGTATAGACTACACCGGCAAGACTGTAGAGTCGGAGAAGTGTGACGCTAACAAGCAACCTGCGCCAGTGTCGGGAGAGTGTGTTTACCAAGAGTGCTAGCGAGGAGACATGAAGACAGAGAAAACTTTGGGAGGGGTAGTGTAGTGGACTCTTAACCACCTTGACCTGACCGTGCTTTAGAGAAAAGCAGGGGAACCCTAGTTTGGAAATGAAGAGTGCACTAACTAACCCGGACAAGTCACAGGACACTTGCCTGTGACTTGATGTTTTACAACCACTAGAGAAGTTTGAACCAATAGAGATCTAGCTACCTCAGGATGTACATGTTTTGTTAAAATAAAAAAAGGTACTGTGTGCGAATTATTATTCTCTCCTAAAAGCTATTACTTTGCATAAAACCTACTGACAAACACCATTGCGGTTAAATATACCTCAATTTCCAGCATATAACCCATAACTATACAGTACAGAGTCAATAAATGAACTGGGCTAATAAAGTTAGTCTAAAGGCATACTATTCCTACCATAACATGTGACATTATCATTGCAAGACAACAACTTACAGTGCTTATTATTTTGAGTAAAAGGGGTTTGTGTAAAACATTTGTTTAGGTACACAAGATGGAAAACTTTGTAAAATACCTTGCTTGTGGATACCTTGCTTGTGGTTTGCTCTTTTGTGTCATTTCCTTGGATAAAATGGTATTTTCTAAATGTGAAATTGTGTTTACTGCCTGTAAAAACGTGTCAGAAAATCTATCAAATATATCTGCTATCTTGTTATTGGTTAATGATTTGTGGTACTGATATGCTTAAAGATTAAAATGTAAGTTCACCCATAATCATTCAAATGACTAGGTCTGCCATTGACTAATCTCTCGTGGACAAACTATGTAACTTAATCTGATGCAATTACGCAAGATTTTTGTTCTGGGTTTCCGAGATTAGCCATTGACAGACACTAAATCGAAGAATATACTTTGTAACAAAAAAGCAACCAGCATATTTAGTAGTAAGAATGAACCAGACATTTTAGTGTTCCTAAAAAATGTTTTACATTAGAGTTTGAGTGTACACTTTCTTTGTGTCAAATTTAGTTTAGCATAGACAATGGTCAGGAATCTGATCTGAGGTAAATCAGTGTAACAGGGACTTTTCCTCTGTTCTGTATCTTTATGTAGTGTTTTAAAGGAATTCTATGGCTACAGAGAATTGGAAGTACAACCAAATTCAATATAAACACATGATGTGTGAAATGGTATCTATTTGCATAAAGAACAACACCTTTGTTTGTAATAATTTCATAGTTGATAAAAAAAAAATATTATTAATAATGCGAAGAATGCTCTATTGTTTGTCAGATGTCTGTATGTATATGTTTGATTTCTCATTACAGTTTTGTATGTCATAAAACAAAAAAAGCAAAATATGATATACCTTCAATGAAGGACCATACTATATTATTATTATTATTGTAGCTTCCTTTCAAAGCTATTTATTTTTGTAAAGTTTTTACCTTGGACATGAAATTATAACATTTTCAGAAGCTGCTGTCTTTGAGATTTATGTCTACAATAAAATGGTAAAATACATCACATTTTACTATATGCTGTAAAAATTTAGTTGTCTATTTTGTTACCCGTTTTGGAAAGTTAAAGACCCACTTTAGCTATGTTTGGCTTACAACAGGCCTGCTTCTCCTTCCACTGCAGTCTGCTGGTTAAACACAAATGGCATAGCAGTGCGGTCGTGTTTTATGTTGTGTCCTCGTGTAAATAGCCTTTCTTTTTGTGTGTCTTTTTTCGTATATATTTCTCTATCTCACTTTCCATCCTTAACTAAATATACTTTTCTGCAACCCGCCTCACCCAATGTGGAACGGATTCTATTATTTCTTCATACCTTTTATCAAGAACCCACGGCTGAAACTAGCCAGCTAACTAGCTACTTGCTATTAGCTATTGCTATTAGCCACCGTTAGCGGTCTTCACCACTGTCCATGGCCTGCACTACCTACCAGCCAGCTCTAGCCTGGACAATTATCGGCCCGTCTGCACAGCGTGCTATTGACCCAGAGCATTTAGGATTTTCTGCCGAAATCACTGAATCACTGGACCTTAACACCGGATCATCACAACTAGCTAGCTGCAACAGAATTTTATTTTTATTTTTTTATTTTTTATTTCACCTTTATTTAACCAGGTAAGCCAGTTGAGAACAAGTTCTCATTTACAACTGCGACCTGGCCAAGATAAAGCAAAGCAGTGCGATAAAAACAACAACACAGAGTTACATATGGGGTAAACAAAACATAAAGTCAAAAATACAACAGAAAATATATATACAGTGTGTGCGAATGTAGTAAGTTATGGAGGTAAGGTAATAAATAAGCCATAGTGCAATGTTTGTTGTTGGCTAATCACCACTAATCACCACTTGTCCCGAAGCTAGCACCAGTTAGCCTTGAGCTAGCCTCGAGCCAGGCCCATCTCCCGGCTATCCACCTCTCTGTCAACCGGACGGGACCTCCTAGTGTCGACACGGAGCCCCGCCGATCCATCACGACTGGTCTGCCGACGTAATCGTCTGATGTGGTTTTAACAGGCTTCCCGTTGCGACGACCACGAAGATCCATCTGCTAGCACCGGCCCGCTAGCACGCGCAATCAACAGCCGTGCCTCCTGCTCGCCTGTGCTGTAGCAGCCTACGAACTGCTCCCGGACTTACCTATTGCTGTTCACTGGACCTTATGATCACTCAGCTACACATCTGATGCCCGCTGGACTGTTCCTTTACACGGTACCCCATCCTGTTTATCTGTTTAGCCTCAGCCCAAACTTTCGTCGCCATTACCAGTTGTTGTCTTAGCCCTCTCGAATAACACCTATGATTGCGTTATGCCACTCTCCCATGTCAATATGCCTAGCCTATTGCTGTGTGGGTTAGTTGTTATTGTACTATTTCACTGTAAATCCCCCAGTCCCGCTCAACCTGCCTCAGATAGCTTCTTTGTCCCACCCCCCCCATACACACGGAGACCGGCTCAATCGGTGCCTCCAGTGATGCTATCTCTTTCATCGTTACCCAATGCTTAGGTGTACCTCCACTGTACTCATATCCTTCCATATCCTTGTCTGTACATAATGCCCTGAATCTATTCTACAACGCCCAGAAATCTGCCCTGTTTATTCTCTGTACCCAACGCACTAGAAGACCAGTTCTTAAAGCCTTTAGCCGTATACTTATTATATTCCTCCTCTGGTGATGTAGAGGTTAACCCAGGCCCTGTAGCCCCCAGTATCACTCCTACTCCCCAGGTGCTATCATTTGTTGACTTCTGTAACCGTAAAAGCCTTGCTTTCTTGCATGTTAACATCAGAAGCCTCCCCAAGTTTGAGTTATTCACTGCGTTAGCACACTCTGCCAACCCTGATGTTCTAGCAGTGTCTGAATCCTGGCTTAGGAAGGCCACCAAACATTCAGAAATGTCCATCCCGAGCTACAACATTTTCCGTCTAGATAGAACTGCCAAAGGGGGCGGAGTTGCAATGTACTGTAGACATAGCCTGCAGAGCTCTATCATACTATCCAGGTCTGTGCCCAAACAGTTTGAGCTTCTACTTCTAAAAATCCACCTTTCCAGAAATAAGTCTCTCACTGTTGCCACTTGCTACAGACGACCCTCAGCCCCCAGTTGTGCCCTGGACACCATATGTGAATTGCTTGCCCCACATCTATCCTCAGAGTTCGTACTGCTTGGTGACCTAAACTGGGATATGTTTAACACCCCTGCCATCCTACAATCTAAACTAGATGCCCTCAATCTCAAACAAATTATCAAGGAACCTACCAGGTACAACCCTAAATCCGTAAACATGGGCACCCTCATAGATATCATCCTGACTAATTTACCCTCTAAATACACCTCCGCTGTCTTCAACCAGGATCTCAGCGATCACTGCCTCATTGCCTGCGTCCGTAATGGGTCCGCGGTCAAACGACCACCCCCATCACTGTCAAACGCTCCCTAAAACACTTCAGCGAGCAGGCCTTTCTAATTGACCTGGCCCGGGTATCCTGGATGGATATTGACCTCATTCCGTCAGTAGAGGATGCCTGGATGTTCTTCAAAAGTGCTCTATTTCATTAAATAAGCATTCCCCATTCAAAGAATTCAGAACTAAGAACAGATATAGCCCCTGGTTCACCCCAGACTTGACAGCCCTTGACCCGCAAAAAAACATCCTGTGGCATTAGCATCGAACAGCCCCCGCGATATGCAACTTTTCAGGGAAGTCATGAACCAATATACACAATCAGTTAGGAAAGCAAAGGCTAGCTTTTTCAAACAGAAATTTGCGTCCTGTAGCACTAACTCCAAAAAGTTTTGGGACACTGTATAGTCCATGGAGAATAAAAGCACCTCCTCCCAGCTACCACTGCACTGAGGCTAGGAAACACTATCACCACCGATAAATCTATGATAATCGAGAATTTCAATAAGCATTTTGCTACGGCTGGCCATGCTTTCCACCTGGCTACCCCTACCCCGGCCACCAGCTCTGCACCCTCCGCTGCAACTTGCCCATGCCCCCCCCCACTTCTCCTTCACCCAAATTCAGATAGCTGATGTCCTGAAAGAGCTGCAAAATCTGGACCCCTACAAATCTGCTGGGCTAGACAATCTGGACCCTTTCTTTCTAAAATTAGCTGCCGAAATTGTCGCAACCCCTATTACTAGCCTGTTCAATCTCTCTTTCGTATCGTCTGAGATCCCCAGAAATCGGCGCCAAACCCACTGGCTCCAGGTCATCTATAAATCTCTTCTAGGCAAATCCCTGCCTTATCTTAGCTCATTGGTCACCATAGCAACACCCACCCGTAGTATGCTCTCCAGCAGGTACAGTGAGGGAAAAAAGTATTTGATCCCCTGCTGATTTTGTACGTTTGCCCACTGACAAAGACATGATCAGTCTATAATTTTAATGGTAGGTTTATTTGAACAGTGAGAGACAGAATAACAATAAAAAAAATCCAGAAAAACGCATGTCAAAAATGTTATGAATTGATTTGCATTTTAATGAGGGAAATAAGTATTT